GGTCCTGGGTTCGAATCCTGACGGCGGGTACGTACTATGAAGAGTCCCAAACTAAGACGACACAGTTGTCTGTCTGGTACTCCGAGGTGATTTTCCAATGGTCCTGTAACAGATCTCAGCTCATCATGATGAAATCCTGTGAGCAATCAATCAAATCCGTACAAACCAATACTTAAATGGCTGATCGTTTATAACAAGTTTTTGCTAAGCTATGTAAAATCATTAGAATGTGACTGAGTACCTCAGTGGTACCGTGGTGTTAGTTTAAATCTCCGAGATGGGCATTAATTCCTTGAAGTTTACAGATACACATTGCAGACAAGTAGCAACAAGTACGATACCTAGGGTGAAGACTTCCTACCCACTGTATCCAGCAATCTATCTCAGTAGAATAGATATGTTCAAATTCTAGTTTAATCTTATGCTCGTGAATGAATTAGTAGAAACATGCCTTTTGTAGTCAGCTGCCAGTATGTTCTTTAATAATACTCGGTATACGTAATAAGTATCTAGACAGACTCGAAGTTCTTGATGTGTGGTTATGTTCTTTTGTAACGACAAAAGACAAGGGCCAGGGAACAGATCCTTTATTGAGAAAATCAATAGATATTTATAGATTTTCATGTACATTATTATTAGCGTTGTTAGCAGGGAAGCAAAGTCTTCTGATTGGTTGTTTTCTCGCTTAAGGTTATTCTGTAATGCTTATGACTGTTAGGCCATATATCTGCGAATCGTATTTGCACACGTCAAGTCTGCTGTGATTGGTTGTTGAGTTCATCAAGATTAGGCTTTGTCATTGTATTTTTCTCATGACCTCGATTCGGGACGGAAATATTGACGTAAATTGTTGTTGACAATTTCGGTTTGCAGACAACTCTCACTACACTATGAACTGGTTGATTGAATTACGAAGCTTTGATTGCCCTTGTAGACAATACAGTTTCAGCGCAAACTTCAGTATGAAGTGGACTTATTTGAATTTTTTATGAATGATGATATAATTGTATCACCTGGCAACCTTTGTTGTGATTGGCTGTTAACTTGCATTATTATTGATCGTTTTTATTGACTTAGCATTCGAACTTTTCTGTCATATGGTTTATTCTGCTTTATTAGTTGTATGTGCATTACTCGCCAATTTATTTGAGTGTCAGGCTTCTAGTAATTCTCTGGAAGTATTTTTGGTGTTTCGTCTGTTTAAAATTTCTGCATTTCTCTAATCACATCGGCGTCCATAGTTGACTGTGTGCATTGTTGAGTCGGTGGCACAGCGGTTATGATGCTTGCCGACCATGCACATGTTCCGGGGTTCGATCCCCCGCCACCGATGCACTCCTTTACCTCGCTTAGCCATTAATAAGACTGGTAAAGAAGGAAGGTTGGGTATGATGCTGGCCAGCAACCCCATCCTGTAAAGATAAACACCACTGCTACGTAAACTTCAAGCCTCTAGCTTGAAGTTGCCGTATGTTCCACTGGAAACGAAAAGGAATAAAGAGAAGCCACCTGATCTAGTAGTTTGATCTATGTAGTTGACGTAACTCACAGTCACTGCAAAGTATTTTGTAGATTATATTATTTTGTCTAACTGGGTCAACAGGGTCCTTTAAACTATAGGACTCGGCCTTGCTTGAGTGAGTTTGTAGGTTTAAATGCCACCCTAATGCCTGCTTTATTGATAACTGTACTAAGTAGGGTCTCAGGTGTTCCCTCATTATATGATAAAACTACTGTAGATGCCTTATATTCTCCCTTATTAATGTTATCATTATAAGTTTCACTATTATTTAAAAAATGTTAAAATGTACTTCAATTCACATGCATCATAACACAGATAAAACAGAGGTGATGAAGATTCCTGGCCAACAGCAACAGCAACAACAACAACAGACAACAATCAGCCAGCATAAATGGGAGGAACCTGAAAGAAACAACCTCCTTCACCTACCCACCTACCTGGGAAGCATCGTTTCAACTACAGGCGGATGGAACTGATGAGGATATCAAAGCAAGAATCCGAAAAGCAAGACAAGCTTTCATTACTCACATCAAGTCTGTGTGGAGGTCAACAGCACTCAGCATGAAAACGAATATAAGATCCGGATTTTCAACTCCAATGTGAAGTCAGTGCCACTTCCTATACGGATCAGAGACTTGTCGCGTCATAAAGAGCATCTCAAACAAATTTTAAACCTTCATTAACAGTTGTCTTCGCTGAATACCGCTCAAGATCAGATGGCCGGCCAGAAAAGATCAGCAATAGGGATCTCTGGCAATGAGCAAACCAACTCAGCAGGAACCGATTGTGAAACAAATAGGCAGGAAGAAATGAAGATGGAATGACCACACGCTGAGTAAACCATCAAGTGACTGACATCACTAGACAAGCCATCGCTCGAGTGGAACCCGGAAGGGAAGCGGCGAGTTGGTCGTCAGTGGAAGGGTGACTTGGAGGAGGTCATGTGAAGAGGAGATGAAAGCATGTGGGCAGACTTGGAGTAGGGTGAAAAAGTTGGCAGGAAACCTAAGGCAATGGAGACATGCAACTGAAGCCCTATGTTCCTCTAGGAATTAAAGGATGTAATAATAATAATAATAATTTATTTTACTTTAAAAACATTTTATTTCCCATCTGATTGTATTTGACTGATAACACTAATATTATTATTATTTCGGAATATACTTTATCTTATATTGATTTTTATTCAATTGTCTAATCATCAATTTTTACTCATGTATATAAATGAAGCGCGAAAGTTGTGTGAGTGAGTGACTTGATATGATAATGAGCGGTAATAATTTCTTCTCGAAATGTGGTCATCAGTTAATATTACTGTACAACACTGTGTGACGCTTTATCAAAATAAAATCTTATCCCTAATGAATATTTAACCATGTCACCGAGAGTTCCTAGGCATTAATTGTCAGCATTTTGAAGGATCCCTAACCACATAAATTCATCACTTATCCCAGTTACTAATTCCACTTCATTCACTTTTAAAAATATATGACAACAATAAATAAATTAAAATCAATTGATATAATCTAAAGCTATAATTAAAATATAGTCTTTAAATTAAATTGAAATTAGTGTACATGTGAGTAACATTGATTCTATTAGGAGTGAGTACACAATGAAAGCTGTTTCATTAGACCTGTGATTAGTCACATGCTTGTGTACTATTTTTGTTCCAATCTTGTAAACTTGTAACGACAGAAGACTAGGGCCAGGAAACAGATCGTTTATTGTGAAAATCAACAGATATTTATAGATTTTTATGTACATTATTATTAGCGTTATTGTTGTTAGCAGAGAAGCAACCTCTTCTGATTGACTGTTTTCCTGCTGAAGGTTATTCTGTCATCTCTTTGTTGCCGTTTCTTAGATAATCCGGTGATATATCTGCGAATCTTATCTGCCCATGATAAGTCTGCTGTGATTGGTTGTTGAATTCTTCAAGATTAGACTTTGTCATTGTTTTTTCTCATGACCTCGATTCGGGACGGAAACATTGACGTAAATTGTTGTCGACCAATTTTTGCTAGCAGACGTCTCTCATCACAAACTTTTTGTTAGTTTTTTTTTATTACACTTGCTAATACTCTTGTATTCGTCCTATTTTCGATTGAAATTGATGACCAACAGGGGAATTCAGGAGGTAAACTTCTATTTAGATCCGCCTAGACGTGAAACTGGCGCCTATTGTATTATCGATTAGGTCTACTTGTGTACTACAAGAAATGCGCCTGTTGTTTAATTGTGAAATTACTTGAATTTCTGTTATTTGTTTTCAATAGTTACAATTCAGTATTACTGGGTTGTGGGTTCATTTAACTTGACTAGAATGCATCCACCAGAACACGACCAAGTAGAACCAGCTGCTCCCCTGAGATTATATCTTACACACACTGAGATAGACAAAAAAGTTCGACTGGAAAAGGCAGCAACCGGATCAATATTTAAAAATGAGAGAACTATTGAAAACCAAAGAGTATTGGTGCCTACTGGTGTCTGACTACAGGATGAAGTTGCCCGAATTTCTGTTGGAAAGTTTTGATCAGTGGGATCGCCATCATAGTTGGGTGTAAATGGCTGACACTGTCCGCTATACTATCGTGAATTGACAGAAGTTTGAATTGAAGGACTGTTAGCTAATGTCATCGGTGAGTATTCTTCCTGACACTCGACCTGATAAATCTTACTGGTCAGGAAATATCATTGGAATATTTAAAAAGACGATTGCAACAAAGAAAAGGCTCTCCTCGCGGAGTTATGAATTATGCTGGGCCTTCGTGTATATATGTATATATATATATATATTAAATGGATGAGGAAGTTCTAGAACTATTTCCGGTCGAGGGGCGAATTTCATGGGCTAGCCGAATAATTCTCATTTGATTCAGTCTCAGTGATTGAATGGTCAACGAACTCGCCTTGTAACCTTAAGGTCTTGGGTTCAATCCTTAGTAGTTGCGTCATGGCTGAGTTCTGAAGAGGAGCCTTGAGCAGACAAAACATCTCTCCAGTAAGTAATTCCTAGTTTCCAATGGTTCTCTAACTGAAGTCGACTTGTGATCCAAATTGAAACTGACCAAATCTCTGGAAAACAACACTTCAAAATTAATCTGCGCCTCACTACTGACGGAACAGGCAATGGACTTCATGGAGTTACACTGAGAAGTTGTTAGACGTGGGGTTAAATGATGGTGGTCTGCGTTGCCAATTTGTAAGTGTTAGAGCTCAAAGGCCGTTGAAATCTGTCTCAGGTACTGTGTAGTGTCGAACTAGCTTATTATTCTGTAGGTCTTAGGTCACTGTTGTGGTCTGTTGAAGAGTTCAAACATAGGACGAAACATCTGTCTTATATCCCTTGGTTTTCAATGGTTCTCTAACTGATTTCAGTTTTTGATCACACTGAACTTGATTAATTCTTTTAAATTATTTCCTTAAAATTCATAGAAAATAATAATATACTTTAAATTTCAAATTATTTTAGCTTGACAGTATCAACGAAATCAGATTACTCAGTATTAAACAGTTCAGAGGCATGCAGTTATCGCTCAGCGAAACTTCTGAATCGATCCAAATCGAGCTACTCATATATCAGCGCTGTACGTAATCATAATTGTCATACACGATTGTGGTGATTTATTCAGTAAGTCTCTTTGTTAATATTTCGTATTGTTTTACTTGTCTCAAAATTTATTTTAGATATATTTTATGCTTTTTCATTGTTTCACTTTCTAATTATGATATAAGTCTTCAAGCTTCAAAGCTTCTTTAGCAGTAGTGTTGCTCTAGAGGAGTGGAGGTACTTACCTCACGCGTAGTCTTCCATGTGTCACCACAACGGGAAACTCACAGAATCCTTCAAAGTGAAGACAGGAGTAAGACAGTGGAGACTGCCTACTATCTCCAGTGATTTTCTTGATTGCGGTAGACTGGATAATGCAACAGACAGCGGCAGGCAATTAAGAAACAGGCATAAAATGGACCCACACAAAATCTTTGAGGATCTGGATTTCGCCTATGTGGTGTATGTCTGATTTCCCACAAACTGGAAGATTTGCAAGTGAAAAGCAGTAAAAATTTGGTAGAAGAAGCACTAAAGATAGGCTTTCCTTCAGGTGAACATAGAGAAAACAGAGGTGATGAAGATTCCTGGCCAACAGTAACCACAACAACAACATACAACAATCAGAATAAATGGGAGAAATCTGAAAGAAACAACCTCCTTCATCTACCGACCTGGGAAGCATCGTTTCATCTACAGGTGGACGAAACTCATGAGGACATCAAAGTGAGGATTGGAAAAGCAAGATAAGCTTTCATTCCTCTCAAACCATTGTGGAAGTCAACAGTGCTCAGCATGAAAATGAAAATAGGATCTGGATTTTCAACTCCAATGTGAAGTCAGTGCTACTTTATGGATCAGAGAGTTGGGGCGTCACGGAGGGCACTTCAAAAAAACTACAGATCTTCATCAACAGCTTTCTCCGCTCAATACTACTCAAGATCTGCAATTAATAGTGTTCTCTGACGTGGTTGGTTTAGTTGCGGATCAGATGGCTGGCCAGGAAAGATTAGCTACAGGGATCTCTGGGAGATAACCAACCCAGTAGGAACCAATTATGCAACAAATATGCGGGAAGAAATATAATAATAATAACAACAGCTTTATTCCAAAAACAGTACTCGTGATACAGCAAGGAATTTTCAGCATTTCAGTACAATATTGCATCTAATTTACTCAAAAACGACAAAAAAAATTAAAAATACCCATTACATAATAGTAATAAAACGATTGTTATAGCAGCTACGTAGCAAAATACTGTGTGCCATACGGAGAAAAATATGTATAAATTACAAAATCGTAGTAATAATAGTAATACCAACTAAAAATAAAATAGCAGAGTAACGATTTAAACGATAGAAAGTGTGACACCATAAAATACAGAAAGATGAACGATAAAAGGGTTAATTACATAGTAACTTGTAAGTTTCACGTCTAACAGAGTCTTCATCACATAAAGTACGCGCTAAATAGGGTATTGTAGAATTTCTATACTTAGTAGTACGAGCATATATCTTTTTATATTGATTTCTCGTCCTACCTGACGAGATACCAGGGGACAGGTGTGAATAAAGGGGGTGCAGAGGATTTGACATTATAGCCTTTGCCCATTTTGTACAGGAATTTATATGCCTCTCGACTATAGTATTAGCGAGCTCATGCAGTGGCAGACCACAAGCTCTACTCACAGCATTTAATACTCTTCGTAATATGATATAATCTTTTTTGAGAAGCCCAGGTGGATTGGCCATAATCTCAGAAAACAAACCACCTTCAAGTGACATCACATGTCAGGCCGTCGTTTGAGTGGAACCCGCCGAATAGGAAGCGAGGAGTTGGTTGTCAGTGCTAGTGTGACATAGAGGAGGTGATGCGAAGAGGAGATGAAATCATTTGGGCAGACGTGGAGCCAGGTGAAAACGTTGGCAGAGAATCGAACGCAATGGAGACGTGCATCTGCAACCCTGGGAACTAAAGGAGACAATAATAATAACATAGGTTAGTAAGGTAAGCGAGGCATAAGGGTAAGTCTGCTGCGAATCAAAGACGACCCAAGTGCGTGACCGTCGAATAACCAACGTACAAAGGTCTTCGCCTGATGGGAGGTTCGATTTCCTGGTTGTCGTTAGAAGTCTAATACTCTACCGACTGAACTAAGTGACCCATATATTCCATATAATAATGAATCATCATTTTATGTTAATTTTGCATATGTGGCTCAATGGCTCGAACACTTGACTTTTAGCTTATAGATTCCTGAACTGAAAGCAACTCTATCTACTCCACCCTGGATAGCTGGGTGATATCATCATCTCACACACACACACACACAACTAATGTTACTCATAGCTTGCCATATAATGAAAAGTATTTCTCGGATAACATAAATGTATCAGGTAGGACTAATTAGAAGATAGATCTTGCTGAAGATCTATGCTATGGATGGCTGCAGCCTACTTGCCTTCATAACCAGTAACTGCTCTAAAAATGAAATAATATTTTCGAAACTACTTACAAGTAGTCAATGTTTTAAAATGCAAAAAATGATTGACGTCAGTATACTGACAGGATGTTACCACTGAGCTATTCAGACTCGCGACTGACTTCCTGTAGGACTATATTGGATATTTTTGATTGGACATTTGTTGACTGCTGAGTGCCAACTAGCACGAAACGTAGGGTCGGGTAAGGCTTTCCGCCGATTGCCTCCAACCATCTAATACCAACAATTTGCTGTGCAGCATGTGATGGCCAGACACATTGTAAATGTGACTGATAGAATTCAGTCTACACCAAAGAAAGATAGGACAAGACACATTACACTAGTTACTGACTAATTTTCAAAAATATCCAATAAAATATTCATATACGTATATATTTGATGTTTTCACTTTCTGTTTTCCCTTTTACAGACTAAAATGAAGGAAAGATACTTCTTGGTGACGAATTTTCTCAGTGAATTATGAATACTCATCACGCCAAGCGGTGTTCCTTCTTTCTTTCTCTCTCTCTCTCCAATGAATCGGTTAGGCGAAGGCTTGTAAATACTGAGGTGAAAATAATTCTGCTGGCAGCAACAATTTCTTCAAATTTTGTTTGTCGGTTGACTTTTTATTCATATTTATACGACGAGTATTCATTGTGGCTGTATGACGCAAACAACCCTCTGTCTCAAGAACACGTTTACACTCTGTGTGTGTGTGTATGCAATATTCACGAAGACGTTGAACATTCTGCTGAACATACATATTTTTATTTTATTCGATGAGAGATATCATTTGTCTGTTTATTTTCTTCCTTTTTTTCACCACCATCTTCCCACTACTGTTGACTAATTTTTCTGTGATTCTGTTTGTTTTTTGTCTTTTTTCTTGTATTTTTTTCATTACTACTGATATCGCTACTCTTAGTAGTATATTAACAGAGAGGTTGTGTGTGTGTGTGTGTGTGTGAGTTGGTGCACGGATGAAAATGATTTTAACGTTTAATAAATAGCGCGGTGTAATTCTTTTTCAACGTATATATTTTTCTTGTGGAAATGATTGCGTGTTATTACATAACATAACATTATGTACATATTATTCTCTGTTAATCTTGGTCGTTTACGTGACTTTTGTGTTTTCTGGGTACAGAGGAACAAATTGGTATCTGAAGTGGTTCGTCTTAGTGACCATCTCTATAGAGCCTGAGAGATTGACAATTGTGTCACTCAACCTAGTTCTAGTTTGTTATGTCATGTGGGTGTGCGTCAGCAGGAACACTCGCCAACTACATCTCATGTGGTTCTGATTTCAATCTCCGGTAGATCCATTCCTAAGCCTTGCTAAGCCGGTAATAAGGCCAGTAAAGAGGGAAGGTTGGACATGAGACCAACAATCCTACTCCGTAAAAACGAGTCTATGATAGTGAAGCCTCAAAGCTCCAACTTGAAGCCCTAGGTTCCACTAGTAACGTGAAGAAACAAAGTTGCAAGGCAATTTTTATAAGGGCAGTTTTTCGATATTTAGTATAACTAAGTGATTCACAGGTGAGATCAGGAGGAGAGGATATTCCATTATGGATAAAATTTTCTTTTGATAAAATCACACGCAGTGGTGTTATACAGTAAGTAATCTCTACTGATGATAACCACCTTTTGAGCCCAATTTCTTGCTGCTCATATTCATATCAAGAGACTAGTCACAAAACTTTATTGCTTCGTTTATATGCATGAGTAAAAATTGATGATCAGACATTTCAATATAGCAAAAATATTCATTCAGACATATCTATACAACACAAAATAATTGAGCACCGAAGAATATCCTTTTCGATAAATTCCTCTTCTGGCTCTACAATTATATATACATATATGTTTATATACATAGAATATTCTAGAATAGTAGTCAATAACTACATGAGTGTCTATTTTTAAATAATATCGATTTGTAAAGTAAGATCACAATGGAATTACCACAGTTCATTAAAGATGCTTAAATTATAATAATCATAATAAAGATATAGTAGCAAATAGAATATCAACTAAAATTAGGAAAATTCTACAAAATTCAGGATCATTCAAACCTAGATGGCCAGCGGGGTAAGGATAATGTCTGAACTAACTTCTTTTGGACACATAAATTAGACTTGTTAATATGGATCCCAACAGCCAGCCTGAGCAATGCTTAGTAGTCGAGCTCTTGCAGAAAAAATGAGATTCGTAGGTATGCGATAAATGATCCTGTAAGCATGGTTAACGTCAATCTTGTGTTCTGTATCTACAAGATGAGATAGAATAGCACTGCGAATAGATTCTGTCTGTCCTTTGCTTAACCAACCGTTTTGCAGGGTGATGTTCGGAAATCGACGAGAAACATGCCTAATTGTACGGCCTATGCAACTAACTGGCTCCACAGGAGCAGTTGAATTGGTAGATACACATGGAAAAGGAGAAATTGTAGATATGTATGGAAGATATTATTACCACCAGTCAAATCAGAAGAGGATAATAAATAATATTAAAATTCTATTTCAGTTCACATTCTAACAAGTTATTTATTTATTTTTACTATAAAACCATCTTATTTTCCATCTGATTGTATTCGACTGATAACACTCCTATTATTATTTCCGAATGTACTTTATCTAGTACTGATTTTATTCAGATGTCTAATCATCAATTTCACTCATGTATATAAATGAAGCAAGAAAGTTGTATGACTAGTGACTTGATATGACTATGAGCAGTAGCAATAAATTGTGCTTGAAACGTGGTCATCAGTAAATATTACTTACTGTGTTGCATCAAAACTGTGTGAGACTTTATCAAAATAAAATTTTTTTCATAGTGAAGTTATACTCTACCACAGTGCCTAAGTTTATTCCTTATATCGAGGAGGATATTATTTGATGCCTAGTAGAGCAGTCATCCAGTATTACATGGCTTTTTTCTCAGTATGTGTTGCTGGTAGCAAAATGGTCGCCAACCAGGAGAACATGCCTTGCAGTTCGATTCTTGACCGACGCGCTCATAGCATCTACCCTGGTAGAGTAAGTCTTGGAGAGAGAGAAGGTTTAGTGTGACGGTAGGAATCCCCCCCCCCCGAATAAGAACAACACAACACTGAGAAAATATCGCACAATTAACTCTGCTGAAAACTCTGTAAATTGTATAAATACTGTTTAGAATAAAGGTGTTATTAATTTTTATTAATATGAGTGATATGGGTAGGATGTCTTTTGAAGGGCACTTCATGGACGTTCATGAATTCAATGGCAGAGAGGGTATCCACTTCGTCGAATATCATGTTTTTCATGGTTGTCGTAATTTATCTTGTAGATGATATCGGTTTTATTTTATTTCACGGTTACCACGAAGACTTGTGGTGCACTCTATAAGCTCACTACAAATTAAAAAAAATGCGCTGAAAATACTGTCCAAAAGGATAATAGAAGCTTATCAACCAGATCATCTAGCTCAGAGAACACAATTGCATCAATATCATCCACCTGAGCTACAAATCTTCTCCATCAAACACATGCATTGACTTTACGATTTGTAAATATTATCAGCTTTACTTATCAATGCCTATCATTGATTAGTTTTTCTTACCAAGAACTAACCCCTTTCTCACGTTTCTTCTCCAGGGACTTTTCCATTGACGTATAAATTGATGTTAATTCAGTGAAGATATGATGCCATCTGCCTTTTTGTTTCATTTTTTTGCATTCTAGGTGGTAAATATCACGTCAAACTTTAGGCTTTGAATTTTCAACTGATTAAAATAACAAAGCAAGGTGTAGATTGTTGGATTTAATAATTGTGTGTTTACATAGTGACATTGCTTATTACATTCGTGCAACCTTGTCCATGTAAACGATCAAATTCTGAACGAATCACAATCTAACTGTGCCTATAAAATAACATCCTTGGAATGTGTGAGGCGACACACTTCGGATAAACATCGTGAGAAATCAAAATCAGAAGAAATGTACACCGTAGAGCCAGTGTCTGTTCGACCACCGAGAAATCCAGGTTGGAACTAGAAAAACTTGAAAAATTATCAGTCATAGCTCGTCTACACGCTATAGAATCAGGTCACAAAATTGATTTTGACACTATTGAAATAATCCAGAAACATTTCAAAAATCACAAAGCACTTCATATAAAATGCAATCTACTTTGTCTGAATAGGAATGATGGAATTAAACAGGATTTGACCTGGTTAAAACACCCGTTTCCCTCCCCCATGAAATGACAAAATAAACAAAAATGTGACGAAAAATCTCATTATGTGAACACATGGTGCTTTTACAATTTTATACACTTATCAAATCCAACAATCTACACCTGGTTTTGTCGTCTTTACGAATTAACCAACTTGACAACCTAAACATTACGCTATGCCGCGGAACGATGGTTTAAATTTGTTATATATAAGCTGAGAATTTTTTTAAATTCTGGTTTAATAATACCTTGATAAGGCTACTAACAGCATCAAACACTGAAATATCAGTAAAAACAACAGTATCGTTTTGACTGATTAAAATGCCCATTAAAATTTTCAAAAGAATGGATACTGAACAAAGAATACTCTTTTCGATAACCTCTTCATCATCAGGCTCTACAGTCACATATACATAATCGTAGCAAATGAATTAGTGTTATGAACAACATAACATGACATCGAATCAATAATAATATCAGTGGATTACAGTTCCATAGCATCAACATAACAATACACACTGAATGTCAGAAACATTAGGAAAGATAACAATAATACAAATTCATGAATTTATAGTCTCTACTGAAGGCTGGCCAGGGCAGTAGTAGTGGCTGGACTTGTTTCTTTAGAACACAGAGCAGTGGTTCTTTGAGGCCAATTGGTGTTTGCAGCATCCGGTGCTTTGATGATTTTGGAAATTTATTAGGCACCCAGTAGATGATAGAGAAGGATTCTTCCATGCTAGCTGGCTTCGTGGCCTGTTTGAACCAGACTGTCTAATATCGAACTGTTGATGGTTCTAAATACATCTTTACTTAGCCATACTAGGAGATGTTCCCGAGCAACCACGAAAAATCAAGTTCCTAGAGCAATGGCCAGCCTTCAGTATAGACTATAAATTCATGAATTTGTATTATTGTTATCTTTCCTAATGTTTCTGACATTCAGTGTATATTGTTATGTTGATGCTATGGAACTGTAATCCACTGATATTATTATTGATTCGATGTTATTTAAACAGCAACATTAATGTTGTTGTTCATAACACTAATTCATTCATTCATTCACTATAATGTATATATAACTATAGAACCTGATGAAGAAGGGGTTATTGAAAGAAGTATTCTTTGTTCAGTATCCATTCTTTTGAATTTTCACTAGCGGTGGGGTCGCTAACCTTATTCCCAATGGGCTTTCAACCATCTGGTAAATTAAGTGAGGTTTAGAAATCCACCGACTGGGAATCGTAACCTCGAACCACGTGCATGGCTGACGAGCATTCTATACACTGAATTAGCGGCCCTCCAATTACTACTTATATCTATTTATTAGTAGCTTACAACACAGTATTATGTAGAAGAAGAATGCTAGATTAAATTTCATATGATAATTTAATATTTGGAAGGTTATTTACTTATCTTATTAAATTATATCATAAAAATGATTTTGTTTAAAGTTACTTTTGTAGAGTGAAATATTCTAGCAATCTGTACAATTTAAAAGAATGTTAGAAATGTTTAACATTGAATATACGGCTTGTTTTAATTAAATAATGAAGTTAACCGACAATTTTAAATTTGATCGATTATACTTGTCAAACAGACAGCCGCCATTTTGTTTTAACTAAAATTAAGCTAAAGAATAAATTCATGACTAGTGTTAATTAAGACAGAAACAAATAGAGAACCAGTTTTATTTATTTGGTCAGTATTTTTTTACTGACTAAGATGGAGCTTCAGTGTCTTACTAATAGAAGAAGGGGCAAAGTTAAACTTTAAGCACCACCACTAACTACCAATCAGCGAGTGGCCTTGAACGCACCAATCACGTGA